CACGACTTAAACAAAAAAGGTGTCGCCGTGTAATTTAATTACCACGTCATATCTGTCGTCTAAATATCATTTTACGTCGGTTTTTGACATAATTATGTCGTTAGAAAGTTATTACACGTCGGTTACGCAATTTGTTTTTTCTTTTGAATTATGAAAACCTCAACAAATTTTTAGGGAAGAAAAGGATGTATATTATAGACAAAATTTGTACATTATATATTATAGACAAAATTTGTACATGTAAAAATATCAAGTGTTCCAAAATTCCTCTACTCCATATGAAGGCAAACAAACTCTGCCCATTCATTCCGGACTTCATCAATGGCTGCTTGGGGGTATGGCGCTTACTGCAATCCATAAACAATGATTATTAAGCTTTACAAAATAAAAAGAAATTCAGTCACAGACGAGGCTAATTTTCATAACCGACGTATTATATCGATTCAATGACGATAATTTTAAAGGACCGTCGTTGATATTACAAAAAACCACATAAAATGTTTATGAAAATTTTCTTCTTACCTTCTTCTCAAACTCCAAGGAAGGATCCATGATGATGTCCCTCATGAAGCACATCACATAATACCCGCATTCGACACTGTTGGGTTGCTTTGGTGTGCCTGGCAGAGTTTTCCAAATTGGTGCTTTACAGCCTGGTCTGCCTATGTGGGAATTATATATTTTTAAAGCACTGTTCAAGATGTTATTGCCCTCCTCATCAACCACACGATTTCCAGGCAGAGGATCCAGAAAATAGACGGTTTCCCTCTTTGCTCTCACAATCAGCAAGACCCAATGACAGCTGCACAAAATTAACATAAAAAACGACGGTTAATATAAAAAGGGAGCACAAGAAAACGACGGTTATTTATAAAAAAAAACGACATATTATACAGTTTCACACGACGAAATAACGTAGCAATCGACATCATTATGAATTTATCACAATGGTAATTAACTACGACGTGGTTAGTTGTTTCAATCAACTCAATAAATAAAGAACCGACATGATTAGATGTTTCAAACGGCACAAAATTAGTTAAACAGTTTTATACGCAGTCAGTTAGTGAAAATCATACAAACAAAATCCTTTTAAGGAGACTAACCCTGGATTGTAAGGCATCATGAAAATCTGTTCACCATCTGTCTTCTGAAGACGACTGGCTACAATTCGTGATCTGTCAGTTAGTGACCCAGCGTTGGCACTAACTTGAGCAGGGTCGATAAAGCCAACCATGCTGCACATATTTGCGTCTCTCAAAACATCATATAAGCACCTAAATATATAAAACAAACGAATATAAAAAAATACAGCACAAAAAACACACGACGGTTATTTATAAACAAACGACGTATTATACAATTTCACACGACGAAATGAAATAGAAACAGACGTGATAACTAATTTATCACGACGGTAAAAAAAGAACGACGTGGTTAGTGGTTTAAAACGACGTAATAATTAAACAACCGACGTCTTATGATATAATGTTTGATATTTGATTAGGACAAACCTCATATATACTGCAACCACAGTAGCCCCAATTTCTTCCATGCCTGCAAACTGTGTAATATCTTCATGCAAGACGAAGGTACTTCGATCTGCACCAAACACCTCCTTCTCAATGTTGAAGGTCATGATCTTCCCCTGTGGCTTTAGTGTAGTTTCCACATAACCACAAAGGGATTGTAAGGAAGATGGCACCTCCACATTCGAATAATCAACTACTTCAGTACCCTGTTTAAAGAAATAAAGCAAAATAAAATGACGTGGTAATTCATTAAAAACGACGGTTTAAATTAAAAAAACGTCGTCTTATTATAATTTAAACGACGATAATTAAATACCGTCGTTTTAGATAAAAACCGTCGTGTTGAATAATTTATTACGTCATAGGAAACAAATTCCGACGTCTAATTTGAAAAAAAACGACGGTTTGAAGAAAAATATAACTGACGTGGATTTGATTTTTTTAATTATAAATAGTGTTTTTTTTCACGGGTTCTTTCAATTTTAGTATTCGATTAGGGTTTCAACTTCTTCTTGCCCCTTTCTCTGTCTCACCTCATCTCTTAGGAGGCAATTGTTTGAATGTTGGTGTGTGTGTATGTTTGTGTATCTGATTCACAAACACACACACATCACCAATTTTCAAAAAATTGTCTCTCTGATTGCAAATCTGTGGCTGCCGTCGTGAAGTTCTAGGAGGCAATTGTTTGGATGTTGATGTGTGTGTGCGTTTGTGTAGATACACAATGCACACATATCATCAACTTCCAAACAATTGTCTCTCTGATTGCAGATCTGAGGCTGCCGTCGTCAAATTTCAGAGGCAATTTTTTGGATGTTAATGTGTATTTGTGTATCTCAAAAATACACATACATCATTAACCTCTAAAATATTGTCTTTCTGGTAAGATTATGATGAGGAACAGAGTTCCATCTTGTAAGATTTCCTAACCCTTGTGATCTCAGAAAAATCTGATTATGTCTGCGGTTTTCTATATAAACCGTCGTGGTTATTTCAATTCTTGTCATTAAGTAGATCTACCGACGTAGGATAACAAAATCCAAGAAATAAATTGTTAAAAAAAATTCTTATTAAGACGACGGTTTAAATATAATGTATGACGTATAAAGTGAATAAATACGACGTTAAATTTTATAATACGTCGTTAAATGAAAACCCCAACGTGGTGAGATTTAAAGATACCGTCATAGAAAATACGAGAAAGACGTCGTTATATTTATCTTTGCCATAGTTGTACATTAATTTAATACGGCGGTATTTTGTATTTTACCGCCATGGATTTATTTGTAATTATATACGCCTTATACGAAAACTTGGTCGTGTTAATTTCTGGATAAAAATGACGGCTTTTTTTGAAATCGTCGTCTTTACTTTCTACGTCGGTCGTTTCATAACTTCCGCAATTATTTGTTGGCTTTGATTTTACTACTCGGAAATCCTATTTCAATAAGACGTCGGTTTTTTAATTAGGTACGTCGTGTTTTAGGAAGAGCCATTTGAATCTCCAATTTTTAGTTGTCTAAGGTGTTATTACACGGCGGTTTTATAGAACCGTCGTCTTTTAAAAAATTATGATGGTTTTCACTTAGACCGTCATTTTTTTCTGGTCGTCTTTGTCACTTTTTGTAGTAGTGCCCATAGCCAAATCCCATTCCCACCATCAAACTGAAGGAGACTCGGAAGAAGGACAAAAAGGCTTTATTCTTTCTCTTTCATGCTGTGGATGAAGCTATTTTTGAAAGAATCTCATCATGCACTACAGCAGATCAATGATGATGCTCAAGGAAATTGAACTTTATTCTTTCAAGCCGTGGATGAAGCTATCTTTCAAACTGTGGATGAAGCTATCTTTCAAGTCTTATTCTTTCAAGGAAAACGAACTTTATTCTTTCAAGCTATGGATGAAGCTATCTTTCAAGCTTTATTCTTTCAAGCTGTAGATGAAGCTATCTTTGAAGCTTTGTTCTTGTATTAAGGATACGTTTCATGTTCAAGGAAATCGAACTTAATCTTATTGATATTCTGTTGAAATTAATGAATTTAAAAGCTTCACACAAAAAATTGAAATATATGAATTAATTAATATTCTCTTCTTCTTTTTTCCTTGATTTATTTGTTTGTAGAGGGTCGAAATTAAAAACAATCTTCCGCAATTGTCAAACCTACGTAAAACTGATAGATTATTTTGCTTAAGAGAAATGGTTTCTCAGTAAAATAATGAAGATGTGTCTGTGTGAAAGGAACAATTGAAACTATGTACCACTCTCCTAAACCTATCATACGTCTATAATTAAAGTATGTAAACACCTCAACAACTATGTTGTTCAATCCTAATTAATGACATAATTATAATTGGTAAATAGCTATGGCCCGTAAGTACAAGTAGTAGAAATTACATAATCAAGTTCACATTACAACAAAGAAGAAAATACGTACTAAGCTTATCTTTGTTTTATTTGAAGATGTGAAGCACGCCTTTTTTTTTTTTTTTTTTCTTTTTTTCTTTTTTTTGTGGGGTGTTGTTAAACGAATCCTATAATTAACTGAGTACACTCTATGATATAAGTACACCGTAATATTTAAATCAAAATGTAAAATTAACTAGGTACACCCTTCACCATAATACTAACTAGTACACCCCATTTTACATGAATTGGTCGTCTTCATCAAATATGTCCCTGTCAACTCCTTTTCCCTTCATCAAATCTAAACCGTCAGGGATACACCCACTCATTGAACCAAATTCATGAGTACTAACCAGAAGGTCTAAAGATGATGATCTGTCTTGAGGGTTCTTCTGTATGCTGCAAATGTAATGGGAAATATAAACAGTCACATGCCAGTGAATTAGATATGTATCAGGTGAAGTATGCATGTAAATATCTTATTAACAGGCAGACGAACAAAACTCGGGGAGAACTCATCTGATGGTGCAGAAGGTGGTGGACTTTCCACAATTCCCTCCAAAAGTTCATAAAATCTTGGCCAGCTTTGCTGATCAAAATGAAATAATATTTAAGTTGTTTTCACGCTGTTTGATGAATAACCATGGCTTTTTGGCAAGGGATTATGTTCGGCCGCTTCAATCTTTTCTCCTCTCAAAGCTTCTTCTTCATTGATGTCAGGAATTATGGAAGTGATAGAAAAAAAAATTTACACCCGACAAAAACTTTGAATTTTTATCTCAAATTTGTTTGGAATCAAAGTCTAAAATTCTAATTTGATTAGGGTTCAATTATAATTACTTTTGTTTCACAATTCAATATATCTTTTTTGATCATTTTATATTAGGGTAAATTAGTAATTCAATAAATAGTTTGGTAGTATGGTGTATTAAGTTAATTGTACGTTTAACAGCACGATTTTTGTGGATTTAATTTTCTCTGTTATGGCCGGCCAGTACAGCAAGAAAAATAAGTGAAAGCTGCATGCATGGTTTGGGTTTGCTTATTATAAATAGCACAGCAGGTTGTAGCTAGGAAAAGCAATAAGCAACGAGAGAGAGAGAAACAGAGATCATCAGAAATGGCAGACTTACCAAAGTTTTTTGCCCTTAAGTCAGTCAGGAACCAGAAATACGTGGTCCTCAAAGACCAATCCACCGCAGAGCTGCCAAATAGGCTCGAAGCCTCCGGAGAGGAAAGTCACAGCAAATACGCAAGGTTCAAAGTGGAGAAGGACGTAAACCAACCCAGTCTGGTGCATATAAAAAGCACGTACAATGACAAATACTTGAGAACGGCAGGCCAAGACAGTCCGTGGATTGTAGCCGACGCTGACGAGAAACAGCCAAATAAAAACCTGTGGTCATGTACACTCTTCAAGCCTGTGGTTTTGCAAAAACCGGCACCATATGTCGACGGCATATACCAGTTCGTCCACGTGCAATTGGGAAACCTTACAGAGCCAAAATCTGGAGCCAACTTCGATGATGCCCTCGCTGCCGATAGTGAAAAACCCATCAATACCCCTGCCTTCATTGTCGAAAAACTTCCAGGATGATTATCCTGTTAACTTAATTTGATGTTTGTGGGTAGCGTCACTGGAAACCCTCACGAGACTTCATTCGTCCTATCAGGGTCACCTATAGGTTTAAAAGGCTTGTTGCATATGCTAAATGCAATCGCGTTTCCTGCGAAAGTGGCATTTTCTTAAGTTTTCCTTATGTTGTGATTTGGGTTTCAATAATATTGCATCCAGCTGCTGCTCATGCATTAATTTATGTAACCTAGCTAAGACTATCTGTGGGAATCAAAGTAGTGCTTCTTTCGTTTTACTATTCCGATCTGGATTACTTGATGCATTCTTGCATTACTTCCATGATCCAAGATTACTCAGGTCCTTGATTATTACAAGACTAGTGAGAATAATTGACATTGAGAATTATCAAGCCAGATAAACAATAATAGTTCAATCCATGCATTTTAAGGTACGCACATTAGAAAATCAAAAGGGGAATTAAAGATTCAAACAAAATTCTCAACAATATATCAACATCTTAGAACTTTTGTTCCATCTCCTATAAACATTTATCATTTAATCGATAAACGTATTATTGATAATACACATTGATCAAAAACTGGCATAGGTAGTTTCTTGATGATACTGATCTGAGAACTCTGACAACTGCAAAGCTCTAGCAACTTCTAGTAGTTTGATTAGTTTCTTATTTCCACTAATACGGGCTTCATCAATTGGAGTGCTTCCCCCATCTGCAATCAGGAAGTAGACTAATTAGAAAGGTTAAACATGCATCACTACTACAAAAAAGGCAAAAGACGACGGGAATTCACCGTCGTGTATTCGGTTTTCAAACCGTCGTGAAATTGACCGACATCTATTTGAGTGTCAAACTACGACGCTAAATCACCTTCGTTGTTAAAACAAACAACGTCATTAACAAATAATAATCGACGTCTTTGTAATGGAAAAAGAGATAAAAAAACAGTCGATTCAGTATTTTTTGCACTGATTGTTTTGTGGCCAAAACCTGTATAATGAAAGTGAAGAAATCACATTACAATATATTACAAAATTAATGTCATACACTGCCAATTACATAAGAATCATTCAATCCATATATCTTCACACCCATCTCGAATATTTTGACTCCCAAACTCACCCACTAGTTCATCAAATGTGTCAACATTTGGCATCCCTCTAGTAAATGGCTCACACTCAATTCTCACATCACCTAAGACATCATCACCAATAACATCATTATATTCTCTATTAGGCATTGATAACACTACCGACTGACCACGTTGCATTGGGTCATCAACAAAAAATACTTGTTTGACTTGAGAAGCCAAAACAAATTGGTCATTCCTATGTCCAATTTTAGTCAAATCTACAAGGGTAAATCCAAGTTCGTCGACTACAAGACCAGAAGTACTATCTATCCAATCACACCCAAAGACTGGGATTGTAAACTTTTGGTAGTCAAGGTCCCAAATTTCTTGAATGACACCATAAAAACCCATATTTGAGAGAAATGGGTTTTTATCCTTGGCACTAGCAACTTGCATGGTATGTGCAAGTAAATAAACTCCACTATTTTGAGTTGTCCGCACATCATCTTGTGCCTTGATGTTAAATTTAATACCTTTAATAAGATAGCTTATATATGATGGCACTGCCATGTTTGGATCAGCTGCTAGCCACCTTAAATTTTCTGATACGCCATGATTGTGTTCCTCATTAAGTTCACTTTGAACCTGCAAATTAATCATCTCTTACTTCATCCTAACATAGAA